TTATTTTATTTTTAGTTTTAATTTTTAATTTTTAATTTTCATTTTAGGATTGGTAAATCTTAGAAAATATTTTATTTTAATTTTAGTTTTAATTTTAATTTTAATTTTATTTTGTATTTAATCCTCAAAAAGTTTTATTTTTAAAATATTTTTGGGTATTGGGCTTTTTTTAAGAGTGGTAAATGGCAGCCCTTTATTGGAAGGTATAAAAAGGGGTGTACGGTCAAAACCCTTCACTTTTTCCTCCTCTTAAGATCGATCGCACACTGCTCCCTCCTATCTCTCTCTCTAAAAACTTCAAGAAAACCCTCATTTTTCGTGAAATTGAATCCTCATAATCGTAAGATCCATGAAATCGACTCCCATAATGCAGTTTTTAAGCAAAAACGATCTTGAATTGATGGTCAGTTGAAGGTTCTGGTATCGACTGTGCGTGTGCGGCTGGACCCGTGTGAGGCTAGACCCGTGTACGGCCGCACACCCCCCGTGTGCGGCTAGCACTGTGCAGTTGGAACCTGTGTACAACTGTACACCGTGTGCGGTTGCACACATTGTGTGGGCTTGATCATGGTGTATGGTTGTACACCTAAAATTGACATAAATTTTTGTTTAATGGGAAATCTCTTAATTTTTCTAATGCTTTAATTTATGCTTGTGTTTTTCAGAACATCATGGGAGATCTTGAGTTTGCAAAAGTGCACAATTCAACCAGTTTTCTAGAAGATCCTCCGGTGGCCCACAACAATCTCAAATTCATTGTCGATGGTCTAAGGAAATGTTGCTTGGTCTCTGATTTCACCACTAGTCCAGTGATTTATCAAGGATTGATTAAATAATTTTGGAGAAGCGCATCTGTGGAAAGAAATGAAAAAGAAGAGAAATATCTTGAGGCCACTGTGCAAGGAAAGAAAGTACTGATTACCAAGCAAATCATTCGAGAATCGTTGCAGGTTAATGATAGGCCTAAATTTTCAATGGAGTTTGATCTGGAGCAAACCCAAGAAATACTGGATCATATGGGTTATGAAGGAACATTTCCTCATACTATCAAGAAGTTGTTACCTCCTTGCTGGAAGTATCTAGCTCATGTGTTTGTGAGCTGTATTTCCGGAAGGAGATAAGGACCTACTGAGATTTCCCTCTTCAACACTGGAGCCATTGCAACTTTAGCATCAAGAATTGAGTTCAACTTTTCGAAGTTCATTATGCATGAATTGATTCTAAACATTGAGGTAAACAAGCGGGACAAGTTCTTAACGTACCCTAGGTTCCTGCAAATCATCTTTAATGTCATGCACCCCGAGATTGAGAGAGGAAATGAAAATTTGGATCTCAAGTCTATCGATCCCAACGCATTCGATTTAATGAAACAAAATCGAACTGGAAAATTTGTCTTTGAAGGAAAATTTTCGTTGATAAAATTTGGGATCTTTGCTGATGCTAGTGACCAATCAGGATCTGAAAATCTCTCTAATCCCATAGAAACCGAGGATGTCGTAATCTCGGTTTCAGAGCCTGAGAATGAAGAAGGTCATGTTTCTCCAGTGGCAATTGTGGCTGAGGAACATGACTAGCTACATAATGTAGAGGTTGAGGGACATTTTGATCAAGAGGGAGGTGATGAGGATTCAATGGAAATGATGATTTCTTAAAAGATTTGGATTTTACTGGTATCAACAACGACGACATTCCTTCGAGTCTTGACCTTAATCTAGATGATGATGATTTTGGTCCATTACTGGGGTTCGATAAGAGGCACTTTAGAAAGGTCAATGAAGTTGCTTAACCATCAACTAAGACTGGGGATGACGTTAACACTTTCAAGATTTTGCTTTCTTCTTCAAAACCAATGGAAGATTCTTCAAGAATAAGAGATGTGGTTTCAGGGATTCCTCCCCTTGATGCTAATATCTCTACTTCTGTTCCATCTCTGAGTGAATCGACACAACCACAAACCTCCCTGTCTTCTCCAAAAGAAAGGCGATTGAATCAAAGGCAAGGAGTGTTCATTCAAAGCCAAGCACCATCAGTTTCATCTATTGTTACCACCACAACTGTCTCTACACCACCACTTCAAACTAAAAAAGGTCTAAGCACAGTGTATGAAGCAGACGAATTGCCTTCTATTCCGAAATATTCCCCCTCAAGGCCTTCGCTAGATGAAGCTTCTACCAGGCTAGCTAAGCACTTGTATCAGAACAATCTAGATTCTTCCTCCTGAGGAAAAGGCATATCTTTTGAGGAAGAACGTTCAGGGATGATAAGACCTTAGTGTCTAAACTTTGAGGAGAAATTGGAATTATGAGACAAGAAGTCATTGAAAAGAACATCTTGCTTGAGCAGCATGATTCCTATATCATTGAGATTCGAGCAAGAGATAAACTAAGGACGAAGCAAATTTCTGATTTGCAAACCGATCTTGGTTCTTTAACTGCATTTTATTTTGGGTTAAAGAACAAGTTGTTTGAAGCGTTTGATGATAAGTTCCAGTCTCTTTTTCAACAACCTCAATGGATTGAAGATCTTCCCACGGCTCCCACCCAGTCCTCAGAAAGCGACCTTCCTGTTAATCAACCTCCTCCAAGGACAACTACCATTGTTGATCGTTTCGACAAAGAGCATGATAATGTCAGATCTCGGATCACGATCAAGCATGGAAAAAGGACCGTCACTGCCAATAAAAGTGAAGGGTTACTTTTCATGAAGAACTCGAACGAAAATAGCAAAGCAAAGGATCCTGTATTGACAGTGACATATCTTAAAAAGAGAAAGTTTGGTGACGAGTATGGTGATCGCTCAGGGATCAAAATGTGGGCCTTTGATCATGAGGTAAACATGTGGGTTGTAAAGAGAAACTTTGGAATTCCTGAATACTACCAGAGCATCCATGACTTCAACTCATGTACGAAAGTTGATCTTGTCGAACTTTCAAGGGCCCCATTTCACAATCCTTCACATGATCCCAATGCGTCCAACTTCAAACGATTTCTAGACAAGCAGGTCAAAGAAAACTTCTCAAAGATGAAAACTGCAAAAGCCCTGTAGAGAAAAGATGCGGATGTTATTGATCCTGAATCTGGTAAACCAATGAAGATCATAATGTGGCTAGAAACAAAGCAACTGAAAGAAATTCCTATCCCTCAACACTTTCATGAAGGATTTCTTGACAACATGGAATTTTGGGCATATGATGATGAAACTGCTACTGCTACCATTAAGTTCAAGAATAGCGAAAAAGTACTAAGGCTTATTATTGCAAAAGAGCTTTTCAGATTCAAAGAAAGAGACATTGGTACCTTGGCTCGTCACCAAATCATTTGCAGAAAAGAGGTCATGGAGGCTGCTACCAAGGAATTCACTAGAATGGTCGCCACAATCATCAATGGAAAGCTATGGATGGGATCCATGGGAAAATCCGACCTGGGGCTGTTCGAAAATCTTGGAGAATGAAGACCAAGTCTATGCTAGCCACAAACCAAGGGAGAGATTGATAGACTATAATTTTGTGGTTTGGGCTAGGCATTCTCATGTATAGGTCTTGGTAGGATGTTAGAGTGTGTTGTGGTGGTCATAGTATGCTAGTGGGTGTATACGACCATACACGTGTGTGCGGTCGCACACGCTGTGTGCGGCTGCAAACTGCTTTGTGCGGCTGCAAACTGCTTTGTGTAGTATAAATAGGTTGTGTCTGTGTGTCAGAAAAAGTGATGTATGTGTGCGTGTTTCTCAAGGTGTACCTGACATTTATACGCTATAGATGTGTGCATGCTTGGTTTTATTCTACTTCTACTCCTTCTACACTCTGCTTGATTGTTTGCAATTCATTGATTACTGATTTGGATCTATAGATCGGGACTTACATAACTTTTAACTACCAACTAGCTTTACTAAACACCCCTAATAAAATTTATGACGTATTGCTTGTAAACTACATTAAAATTCTATAAAAAATGTCAACATTACCTGATTTAATATATATCAACATAACTTCGAGTTTGTTTGAATATAATATTTAATTTGTTGGAAAATTTATGGATGCATGTATATCAAACTCTCTTATTATCTTTGAAATATACCCTACTTAATGTGGAATACTTTTAAGAGATTCAACATAGTTGAATATGGAACACTTTTTTAACGACTCGATGATATATATATATATATATATATATATATATATATATATATATATATATATATATATATATATATATATATATATATATATATATATATAACAACCATCAAAGACACTAGAGAAAGAAAAAATAGAAAACAAATTGATTGAATTATATCTAAAACTTAATGATGAAAACAAACACACGCAATCAGAAACAACATCAGATGATGACCGATAAATCTTATACTCCAAACGAAAATATGGGGGCCATAAGTGGGGATCAACACAACAAGTCGACAACCACAATAAGCTTGATGAAGAGAACAACATCTATTAACCGAATCGACAAGACACGAAGAGTTAGACAAGCAGGCCGACAACAAAATTTTACCACTTGGCAATATGCTTTTAAATATACTCCACTCCGAACTATGAACTTGAGATTGATTTGTTTATTTTGTTTAGGCGCCATAGGATATATGGAACATTTTTAGCTAGCATAAACCATTTGGTATTGTGTACATAAGTTTTGTTACTCTTAAATAGTTGAAAGGTCACGATTTGCTAAAAAAACAATTTAAATGAAAAGTTTGATGCTATAATTGATAAAAAGAAATAAACTAAAATATTGCTATTATTGATATAAACATTATATTTGGTTGCTAATTTCTACGATCATCCACTTCCTTAAATAGTGAAAAATACCCATTAATGGAGGGGCATAAAAAAGGTTATTGGACTAAATATGTAATTCCATAGATTATGGGGGACATCTTTTGTAGTTTACTCAAAAAACAACTGGGTCTTTGGCGGGAAATCAGTGGACAACTTGGCGGGAAAATCCGACCTAGATAATGATATTTTCATTCCACCATGGCTTCACAAACATATCAGAGATTCAAAGTTCCCCTGATCGTATTCAATCTCTATAACACATTCTTCACAAAAATCTTAAGATCATGATGTTCTCCGAGAGTCAGATGGATGGTGGATTTACTTCTACTCAGTTCACCAATTCTCCGGCCGCCGCCGTAATCAACCAGCCTCTACTCTTCAAATTTCATCGTTTTTGTTTGATATCGTCTCTATTAACGCTTTTGATCATTGTATATCGTAGAATCGAGACACAGCTGGGGTTGTGCCGCTTACGATAAAGCAGATCAGCGAAGCTTCTCACTCCGGTGACGATAAGTCCAATTTCGTTGTCTCCGGCGCAGATGTTGTTAATGTATGCCTTCGATTCCTTTTCATCTTTTCATGAATATATTTCCTACACGCAATATCAATTTTCTGACAAACGAAGTTCTGAATCTCAACTAGTCGTGATGAATTCATGATTTCCGCTTTAACTTCAAGATCTAATCACGCGCTTGTGAAAAAGAGCTTTTAATCATCAACATTTTTGCTTTCATTGATCAATTTTTTGAGTTTCTACATGATTTTTTTCTTCATTTTAGGTTACGGTGGTGGGGATGGTGTCCGACATAGTGGAAAGAAACACCGATGTTAACTTCACTGTAGATGACGGAACTGGAAAATTGAATTGCAAAAGATGGTAAATACCTCTAATCAAACCCCCAAATCAATTTCTACTTTTGATCTGAAAACATTCATCAATTTAATCGTTCAATCACCTTTTTTATTCTTCAAGGCTCAATGAACCTTTCGATAAATTGCAAATGGAGGATGTTAGGTGAGTTACTTCGTATTATACCTCTTCATTGACATTTCCAATTCCGTTTATGAAACTATTATTCATGTTATGAACATGAATTACAGAGAAGGAGTATATGTTCGTGTTGATGGACACTTGAGAAGTTTTAGAGGTGAAAGGCATGTTTCTGTCTTCTCTGTTAGGTATGTCTTCCATAATCATCTTAATGCAATTCTGATCTCATTAAAACTTCAGTTTGAATTCACATTCATGAGTTTTTTTTTTTTCCATAAAGTTTGATGAAAATGAATCTTGTGAACTTTTTAGGCCTGTGACAAACTTTGATGAGATCACCTTCCACTTCATTGCATGCATACACTACCATATGCGTGCCACCAAAGGCCAGGTATGCAATATTCAGTTAAACAAAATCAACTTTTTGACATTGAGTAAATGACCATTTTACCCTTTTGTTTAGAAAACACAAGGAGATGGAACAACTCTTTCTCAGAACATGAGTATAACTCCAAACACACCTACTCAGAATGGGACAAATGGTTTTAAGACAACTTCCTTAAGTCAGGTATTGTTACATGAATGTAATCTCATTACCAAATTACTAATTTGCCCTTACTTTTTATAACTAACATTATTATTATTTGTTTTATTTTTCAGCTCTCTGTGCCTTTCAGTGTTGATGGAGATGGACTAAAAGGCTTTGATCAAGTGGTTCTTGCTTATCTCCAGCTTCCTGCAAACTAGTAAGTTTTATTACATATTTGCCCTAACTGTTATGTTACATTTTTACAATTATACCCTTATGTTATATTTTTACAGTAACTTCATAACTAATCATATTGTACTACTTTAACCAAATCAAGTTACTAGTTCACATTTAAATTTCTTTTTTGAAATTTTGTAGTAGTAAAAAGTTGTCTACTAGAATTAAAAAAACTCAAAGCTAAGATGAGAAAGGAGAAGGGCATTTATGTCTTTTACACATAAAGTTTTTGTCCAATTGACATGTGTATAGGCTCCATTCATGTCATGTTATGTTATGTTATGTGTTTATCATGTATAATCATTCAAATTAGAATTTTAAATTCAATCTTCTAATTAAGAATAATAATTATCATCCTTTATTTTGTTATATTGACATTTAACATATAATTTGATGATTTTGAAATGGTTTTGTAGTGGAAATGAAAAGGGCATCCATACAAATGAACTTGCACAGAAGCTGAAACTTTCTCATGACAAAATCATGTAAGAATTTGTATTTATTTGTTTTGGATTAAATACAGTAAATAGCAAATTACTTCATTTATTTTATTTTATTTTATTATTATTATTTTTTCTATTACAACATTGTATTTTGAAACATTTACTCAATCGCAACAATGTCATCCAAATAAAAAAGGTATTTTTTTCTTGGGTTAAAATCTTAAAAAAGATCTTATATTTTGTGTTTTTTTCAGATTAAACTTCAAATTTATTTTTTGTCTGAAAAAGATCTTTTATTTTTTTCATTTTTTGGATTTGATCCTTTTAGACAGTTTTTTGCTAAAAAAGGAAATCTGATAAAGTCCTAATATTTTGGTTAGTTTGCGGTTTAGTCTTGATTTTTATTTTTTTAACAAAAATGTCCCGATTCTTTTATATTTTTTCCAAATTAAAGAAATAGTTTTTATTTTTTTCAACATAAAATGACAGATTCTTATATAAACTATAGATAATCAGGACCTTTTTGTTCAGAAAATAAATATTGAGATTAAACTGTAAAATGATCAAAAGTATTGAGATTTTTTGGAAGATTTTCCAAAAAAATTGTGAAATGTGAGTTTTTTTAGAAAAACAAAAAAAGTTGAGGGTTTATTTGGAAGTATTTAGAAGGTTGAGGGTTTTTTTTTTTGAAAAAAAAATACAAAGTTGAGGGATTTTTTAGAAAAAATGAAAAAAATACAAGGTCTTTTTTAGACTAATGTTAGGTTTAATACGAAAAACACAAAATATGAACTTTTTTTTTTTTTTTTTTTGAGATTAATTATTTTTTTATAATATAATGTTGTAATAAAAAAATGAAAGTACAATGGGTAGATTTTTAATGTACAATGTCTTTGATAAGAAAAAGATTAAAATACAAAATAAAGTAATATAAAGTACATTTATTTCAGGGAATCAATAAGAACACTCGAAGATGAAGGCATGATATACTCAACAATCGATGAATTCCACTACAAAGCAACAAGTAGTAGTTAATTGCCTTAATCTATTAATATCATTTTGTGAAGATGATTTAAGCTCTATATATTAAGGGTTTTGTTTGGTATGTAGGATTGTAATTCCATGGAGATTTAACATGTTTTGTTCTAAAACAATTTACCAAACTCTGTTTTTTTAAGCAATTAACCAAAATATAATAGTTTATTTATTTATTTATTTATTTTTATATATTTTGCCTAAAAAAATTTAGTTTCAACAAGGTTGTTAAAGAAACTTACAATAGTCTTTAAAAATAGTAAACTAACTCGATCATCCAAATTCCTTTGATGAAAACTCATAAGGTAGTGTCTGAATCAAATAAGTAATTAAAGAAAAAGCCGAAGTAGTATATGAAGTTATTGTCAGTTGTAAGAATTTGTCTTTTTTTTTTTTTTTTCATATTTTGTTAAAAATCTTTTAAATATGATGGGGAAAAAACAAATCCTTACAAGTGACAATAACTTCAAATAGCTGGAATAAGTATAAGTAGCTGTAATATGTGGAGGTATTTTGGTCATTCTCTTAGTTAGGTCGGTTAAGTGGTTGTCTGGGCTTTAGTTTCAAAATAAAAATCACTTTTTGTTAAAAATGATTATTAGCTTATTTGGTAAAATACTATAAGTTGATAAATACTGTGTAGTGTTTGATAAAAAAAATGTATGTGTAAAATGATCAAAATAATACACGTTTATATTTTATATATTTGTTTTTTGTTTGTTTTTATTTATTTATTTATTTTTTTGCTTATAGCCGTTTATCTTAATCATTTATAATGATTCTTTGAGTAAAATTACATGAATGGTTCTTATGGTTTGAGATAATTTATGTGTTTGGTCTTTAATTTATTTTTTATTTCGGAAGGTTAGTATTGTTTGTTTTTATTGCGTGCTTTGTTTCTGTTTTTGCTAAAAAACCTATTTTGCTGTTGTTTTTTTAATTTATTTAAATAAACACACTATAACTCCATTTTAGACTCACATTATCTTCTATAAAAAAACTATTTTAACTACTTAAATAAGGGCATAATAATCTTTTTAGGTAAGACAGGGACTAAGTGTGTAACAAAAACAAGCAATAGGGATCTTTTGAGTTAAAAGAATATTTAGGGATTAAAAACGCAAATTACTCCAAGGGACCATTCCATGTAAGTTACATTAATTATTTTGACAAAAAGTTACATAAAGAACATCAATTTTATAAATTGTCAAAAAAAGTATTAAATTTTTGAAAAAATTTAACTTTAATCCCCCAAAAAAATTTAAACATAAAACCCCCAATTATTTCATTTTGACTCAAATTTTAAAAAAGGATCTTTTTTTTTTCTTTTAACATCCTTTTTAATAATTTTTTAATTTTTTATTTTATTTTATTTTATTTTTTTTTTCATTTGTCACATTTTTATTTAATTTGTCAAATATCATTTTATGGTTATTTTGAATTAATTTTTTTCCACATGTCATTTTATGAGTTTTTCTATTTTATTAAATTTCACATAATATTTTAATATAACAATTGCAATAAATGTACTAATAAATGAATATTAATTTAATTAATAAACTTACTTTTCAATTTCAAAATTCATAAAATTAAAAACTAATTATTTTCTTTTCTTTATTTAAATTTAAAAGATAAAAAATAATTTCATTATAATAATTCACTATTGTTCTTATTTTTTATATAAAATCAAAGTTCTCAAATATTTTAATTTTTATATTTAACTTCTTTTTTTTTTTTTTTTTTTTTTTTTTTTTTTTTTTTTTAAATTAACCCATGTAATACATGGATCTCACAACTAGTGAAATAATATAGTATCGTGTAAAAATCAAATAATCCGTGAATGTTAATTTTTTTTTGGGAGACTAAAGTGAAACTTTTTCGAAAATTATGAGATCTTTCTAACAATTTCCCAATTTTATATTTTGTAATTCGAATAATTAATTATATAATATTTGACTCTAATTTATTCTTTGGTAATCCAGAGGCGATTATAAAATTAACTATAAGTGAAGAACTAATGCCAATCAAGAACACACAACCTAATGTCCAAGACGAACGCATAATATCAAAGACAAATAACTAACGTCAAACAAGAACACATACAACAACTAGTGTCAAACAAGAACAATATAACAATCAACACATAAAACAACAAATGTCAAACAAGAACACAAAAAACAAGTTATCATTCCTTCATAAATAACTTAAAGGAACAATTTAATAACATCAGAAAATCTAATTATCAACATTGTCAAGAAAAACTTGCTATCTTGACTTTTCATTCAATCATACAGCTAGTTATGATCCCAATGATGTCGCGTACTGTGGGTTCAAGAGTCGAGGATTTGGAATCGAGCACAAAATTAATGCAAACGGAAATCGACAACATTCAATCAGAAATCAGATCGATGAAAGAAGATATGAAGAAGATGATGAAGCAATTGGGACTATTCGTCCATAAATCGATCGAATCACCATGGAATTCGACAAATCCAATGATCGCGTTTCACAAAGAGAATCGTTTTAGTGAAATTAAAGGAAGAAAATTAGTGTTACCTTCTTTTGTCGGAAAACATCCGGATGATTGGATCCATACAGCAGAACGCTGTTTTGCTCTCAATCGTTTAACAAATGAAGAACGTCTCGAAGCAGCGGTGATTGCATTTGAAGGTGACGGAATCAGATGGTAATAGTAGGTGTATATATATATATATATATATATATATATATATATATATATATATATATATATATATATATATATATAGCAAGAATTTGACCAGTAAACTCTTCAGATTTTTGGCAACATGTGTGCCTTGAGTTATAATTTTGGCTTGGGAAAATGATTTGTAAGGGTAACGAAGTATTAGACTTGTACAAAAAATACCATTGAATTTTTTTTGTACACATATCACCAATCAACTATAGCTTTGTACACATATGACCATTAAATTGCACATTTGTTCAAAAAATACCATTATGTTACTGGTAATAGTAGGTCACCAACCACGTAACATGCCACGTGGCATGCCACATGGTTGCTGACGTGGATTTTATTGTATATTATGTACACATTATACCATTAAACTATTTTTTGTACACATTATACCATTAAACTTTTTTTTTTTGTACATTTTGCCATTAAAGTTTTTGTACATATTTTACCATTAATCTTATATAATTTATTCAAAAAATATCATTTCAAAAATATCATTTTTGTAAGGTTTGGGGGAAAGGGTTTGTTTTTGACAATGATACTAAGCACTTTCTTTTACAACTACAATGTGAATTTATGGTGGTCATATATTGATTGAAACCCACAAGATTTGAACTTGAGACTTCTATCTGGAGTGGTGAAAAAATACTCAATTGTTCATTATTTTAGCTAATGTCTAATAAACATATTATTATAAGTTATTTTCTTAGGAAACTACATTTGAGGCATACTTATAAACTCATGAAACATTTTGTACATGTTACCTTATTATAATCTCCCCTTTTCTTGATTATGGTTGATGATTAAAAAAATGTATTGAAATTATGTCGTTGTTTACCAATAGGAAAATGACTTATAATGATAATTTACTAAAATTTAGAAAATCAGTAAAATCCACATCAGGTGATGGGAAACCTACTTTTATGTAATAATTTGTATTTTTTGAAATGATAATTTTTCAATAAATTATATAACATTAATAGTAAAATGTGTACAAAAAAGTATAATGGTAAAATGTGTAAAAAAAAAAAGTTTAATGGTATAATGTGTACAAAAAGTAGTTTAATGGTATAATGTTTACATAATAAATAGTAAAATCTATATCAGCAGCCACATGGCATGCCACGTGGCTGATGATCTATTTTTACCGGTAATATAATTGTATTTTTTGAACAAATATAAAGTTTAATGGTCATATATATATAAAAGTTATAGTTGATTGGTGATGTATGTATAAAAAAAGTTTAATGGTATTTTTTATATAAATCTAATACTTTATTACTCTTACAAGTCATTTTTCCTTTTGGTTTTGATTTGATCTTTAGATTATAACTCCTTAGGGCATCTCCAACCCACCCCCATACTCCATTTCTTCCCCCATTTTTCTCCAACCCTATCCCATTTTCACCTCCATTTTTGGAGATATGAATAGTATTCCCCCATATATGGGGGAATACTATTCATATCTCCAAAAATGGAGGTGAAGTTTGGTTGTCAATTTTAGTCCCTCTCATTTTTATTTTATACATTTCTAGTTTATTTTATCTAATAATTATAATTTAAATGCAATATTTAATATTTATAATATCATGTTGTATACTAATTTATATTAATTAATCATAAATATAGAGTTTAATTAGTAGAGGGGTGTATTTGATAATATATATAAGTTATAAAAATGAAATATTCAAAAAATATACTTTTTTGGGGTAAAAAATGGAATAGAAAATAAAGTAGGATTGAAGATGAAACACTGTTTACTTCATTTTTTACTCCATTTATAGGAGAAAAAATGGAGATGAGTTGGAGATAGGTCTTGCAATAATTCTTTTGGTTTTGATTTGATCTTTAGATTATACCTTATGCGACGTGTCGTTCTTTTCGTCGTCCTTATCTCAAGTGTGCAATGTTTTAAAAACCGGTTTGAACCGGCCGGTTGAACCGGTTGGACCGAGAACCGGAAGAGGGAGCGGTTCAACTTTCACCGGTTTTATATTGATTTCTGAATCGGATTGAACCGGCCGGTTTTTAGAAAAACCCGGTTGAACCGGTCAAAATAAACCGGTTGAACCGGTTAATCCGAATAAAAACACATGAAAAATAATTATTTACATAATAAACTTTGATATTTTTTTTCAAATATATTTAGTTTTCTCTAAATAAAAACATATATTAAATGTTATAAAGTTTTTTGATGTGGTTGTATTCATCTAAAACTTTATTTCGTTTCGGTATTATATTTTATTTTCTTTTTAGCGTATATGGATTGATGTAAAACACTAAAACTTATGGTTATGCGTTATTTTAATGTATTTTGATTCATTTACAACTTATTTTTATGTGTATTTTTAATGTTTGAACTTGTAAACATTAAATTCATAATTTATATATGTATGTATATGTAGGAAAATAGAAAAAAACATGAAAAATATAGAAACCGGTTCACTCAGCGATCGAACC